AGAAATTGAATATATTTATTACTTAAAAATAAGTTTTTCTTGTCAATAAAACAAACATTTTTACAGATATTATATGACTAGTTTTTCAAAAACAAACAAAAAGAAAAGGAGAAAATTCCTAGTCCTTGTGGCTTAAAACTGAAAAGTGCTAAGTAATGAAATATTTGTTCCTAAATCCGTTCGTTTATTATGTTTAAAGTTGATTTTATAAAATAACATTTTTAAAATAATAAGTTTTTTTACTAAGTAATGTTCTAGGAGTAATTTTTAATAATTAAATAATATTTTTGAAATACTTCTAATTACTTTGAAAAAAATAAAATTTTCGCTATATGAATTTGACATAATAAATATCTTATTTATTTATTATTATATTTGGTTGAAAAATATAGTCGAAAATGGAAAGAGAAATAAAAAAGAGGGGAAAAAAGGTAGAATAAAGTGAGAAAAGGCACGCAAATTAAGGCAGCATCCCATTCCTTTTCGTTCATTCATTCATTCCCTTTCTCTCGAGTCAAAATGGGTCTTACATTTTGGGAGAGTGCGCACCATACACACTGGTGTATTTTAGCAGCTAATTCCCTACTGCTCGCCCGTACCATACTTATCATAGTCCCCTTCAAGCGACGCCTCTTTGACTCAGTCAAAGAATATCCCACTGCCTGTGAGCCTGTGACCTCACCAACCAACAAAAACAAATCTCCCATGTCAAATTTTTATTTGGATTTTTAATTCTCTTTTAACATTTTTTTTTTATTTTCACATAGAATTTATTAATATTCACTAATTTTTACTCCAATAGTAAAATCTAATTTAAGTTCTTAGCTTATTTTTAAGAAGTCTTATTAATCATTTTAACTTTAAAAAGAAACATTTCTTAATAGTTAAACTACCTTGATGATAATTGCTTATATAAACAATTTCTATAAGAATTTTATAAGTACTTACCTGCTTCACTGTTATTCTTTATTAAGTTATTTAACTTTAAAAACTAATTTAATTGGTCTATTTAGATAAGCTTTTCTGCTACAAGTATTGTTGCTGGAAAAAGAAAATAGGAAAAAATTACCTAATTTAATTTATAAATAAGTTAATACGAGAAAATTTTTAGAAACCTATTTATATATTAGTTAATTTAATTTTTTAAAAAACTCTTTTTGATATATGTATTTTAAAGAAATTTACCTAAAGATGTCTTAACTCCGTAAGAGTTACTATAGGAGGGTATAATTAAAAATTTCTCAACAAATTTGGTGGAGAATTATAGGCTTATAATGAAGACATTTTAACAAGGATATTTGACCTAGAAATATGGATCCAGTATAGCGACTTAAAATAGTGTATGGTTTAATGCTAACTGCACCTTCAAATGTAGATCTATATTGAAATTATTTTTAGAAGCTTTTGCTTTAAGTCTATTCCAATTTACAAATTTCAAATAGATCATAAACGTACTTTAAGTCTATTCCAACTTATATATATATTACTTTATTAATATATATATTTTTTAATTTTTTTCTTTCGATTTGCATACCATCTTCCTTAAATCAATATTCTCCTAATCAAATTAATGTTTTTTTATTTTTAGAATCAGGATTTTACCAAGATTATCTCTACAACTGAATTTAAGCTATAGAACTAATCTCTAAAGACGTGTTTGGATACGCGTTTAAAAAAATGTAACCATAATTTTTTATTTTCCAAAATAAAATTTAAGAAATAAAAAAGATTTTACTTTAAGATAAACAGACATTCTAAACCAAACACGCTATACGTAGCAGAGTATCAGTTAAAAAATAACTTCTCTACTACAAAATCTTGCTATCTGATACTTTCATTTCTTTTATTTTTTTCTTTCTCATTTTTTATTACACGTTTCTTTACATTCTATGTAATAAATATAGTTTGTGAAAAAGATTTTGAAGTTCGCGTACACGCAATTTGAGCTTCAGTATGTATTAAATGCACTACAAAAAGCACTGCAATTAACTCCACAAATTATTTTTAAAAATAATAAATAATAAAAATTGTATAATAGTGAATGATTATTAAAAATATATGAATGATTATTTATGAAGTAATTTTTCAATAAAAAGATTAGAAGAAGTTATAAAAGAGTAAAATATTCCAAATATATATAAAAGAGAAAGACTTATTGCTTTTATTATTATTAGAGTACAAAAGATTATTTTATGTTTTTGTGAATTATTTTAAAAATAATAAATAATAAAATTATATAATAGTAATGGTTATTAAAAATACAAATGATTATGAAGTAAAATTTAAAAAAAAAATACAAATAATTTATAATTTATAAAAATGTAATTATAAGAAAAAGTTGTCCAAAAATGTGGATAATAAATAAAACAATCTCCATTATTAATAATATAAATTATAGGTTGCTATTGTTGTAAATTATAGATCGTTATAAATGACCGGACACGAGCTATATATGAAGTTTACTTGAAGTTATAATTACAAATTTCATTGCGACTCTCGTAAAAATTAAAGTTAATGTTATAATTTAAATTTTTGACGCAGTATGTCCCGTTAATATGGATATTACATGTCTTGATTTAAAAGTTTACCAACATTGGTCTAGCGATGATCGAGTAGCTTATATTTAAATTTTATGTCATTATTGTATGCAAAATACAAAAATGTTTTTATTTAAATAATTAATTTCTATAAAAAATTAATTTCGAAATAATTATCTTTCACCATCTTTAATTTATTCCTACCCAATAAAATAAAACCCTCACTATTGACATTCAAAATATTTTCCATTGTACTTTTAAATTTTACACACATGATTTTATTTTATTTTATTTTATGTATTTAATAATGATTATAGTTTTATTTCCCACATATCTCATTTGTCTTTATATTTTTATATATTACTCAAAATTTAAAAATATCCATACATTTTTTTTTTAAAAAAAAATGCATTACATGAAATTGGTATATCGCCCATTATATAGCAAAGTTCAATCAAAAGAACTGAAAAATAAAATGTGTTAAACGATATTTTTAAAAGTTAAGATGTTATTATAAAAAAATCTAATGAAACATAAGATAGAAACACCTTTATAATGAGAAAAGATTGTTAAAAATATATAAAATGTTAGTTAATAAAAATATATAATTGTTAATTACTTTAGAATAAATACTTTATTCCACAGTTTAACTTCAAACTTTTATAAAAATTTATTAAAATAATCTTCTAAGTCCTGTTAGAAATAAAATTCAATTCATTTACACTTCTATTAAAAAAATTGATTAACATTTTCTTATTTTATGCATCAATTATATAGGATAAGTAAATTAAAAATAATTCTAATTGTAAAATAAAATGATTATTATAATTTAAAAATTGAAATAGTGTGTATTTATTTTATTTTTAATTTAATATTTTTTTAAAAATATTGCTAAAATGATTGAAAAAAAAATGTCTAATTTATATAATTAATGAAAATAAAAATAGAAAATTTTATTTTTGCAACTAATATTTATTTTAATGTAAGATAAATCTGCAAATATGTTATTAAATTATTGCTTTGATCATTGAACTTTAACTTTACCATTGTTATATAAATAAATGTAATTATCAACTATTGGTTGCTAAAGTAAAGTGTAATCTTAATTTTTTCTAGAAAATACTGTTTTTTTTTTCTTCACATTTTTCGAAGTTTTATTTTGAGAAAGAAAAAAATAAAAATAATAATAAACGTAGTGGATGATAATAATACAGCGAAAAGAAAAGTATAAACCTTAAAAATATTTATGAAAAAGGAAAATAATAAATTTTAATAAATTTAATACTACAATTATAAATATCACAACTCACGTAATAAAAGCATTAGGAAAAAAATATGATTGTTTTAAAATAAGTAAATATAAAGGATGAAGAGCGAGTAATTTTAAAAATTATGAAAAGTATAATACAAATTTAGAAGTAAAAATATGTAATAAGAAAGTAGTTATTTAATAAAATTCCTTAATAAATTAAATTTATAATAGGTATAGATAGTTCCTTCTCCGTATAACAGATTTTTAGATTAGGGAATGTCGAAGTTTCCGACCTGTCAAACACTAATGGAAGCACATGGAAAGAACCACTAGATCAGGTTCACGAAAAACTTGTCATTATCATAAGTAATATTTAAACAATAAATAATTAGTCAAATAACCACGTGCTCGTCATACATAGATACAATATGGTAAACTAGATACATCAACAATTCAGGACAAAATAAGTAAATTCACTATCACATGCATACTTAATTTTCATAAATAGTAAGACAATTATGCATATCCCACGCTCACAAACTATTGTACGGTTTGGGAATTAACATATGTTTATGATCCCGATTATTCCCTATATCTCACGAAGTCAAATTTTATTGACTTTCTTAAAGATTTATTTTTAAAGAATCGTTATTAATCACATAATGGTCCATCATCCCCTAATAACATATCACGTAAAGATGAACCAGAACCACGTAGTCTCGATCAGTTCAATAATCTTTCCCTCAACACAATTGAGCAAAAGCTTTATATGTAAGGTACGATATGAGTTCGAACTTCGAAGCACTAAGGGATCTTTTTTCTCTTTTCTGGGTGTTTGAACAAGTGCTTAAGAACTTGAAAGTAACGTCATGATGCCAAGTAGGGAAATGCTTCGTCTTTGTCTTTCCTGTTTGTCGTGATGGCAAAAGACATGGATGTCTCTATTTCCTTTACCCCATTACTTTATTGTCATCTTTTATTTACATGACAAACTGAACCATTTTTCTATGAAGATTCAGGCATCAAAATATCCTTCGAGTCAAAGAAAAAGTACCCTTGCTAACTTAGACAAATGATATAATTTTGGACGAATATTTTGTTACCAGCCAAGGAAGATAGTAATAAGTAATTTGCTGCGTTCATGATTTTGGTACGAATCTCATGATTGATTTTTGTGCATTCTATTTTTCTCGTTAACAAAAGTGGATAATGTTTGGCAAGTTAGTAGTATACGTACCCTACCTACCAAACACATGAGGAATCAATCAGCACTACTGACATATCCCTTTTCTTGCAAACAAAACTAGTTACCATACCAAGCTACAATAATCATTCAATAATTCTACCATATCATCTTAGTTTTTTTTTTTTTCCTAAGCTAATGTTTGTAATCTCATCTCAACATTCCCATCATTCATTCCATAAAGCAAACATGGGAACTTGATTAACCAATCCCAAGTTTCCAAGCCTGTTGTTGTTCATGTGGTCATTTTCATTGTTCCCATCATCATATTTTGGTCCATCCAGGGTGAAGTAACCATGTCCATAATCTGCACCACTCACTCCAAACTCATTAGGTAGCCCCACAGAACACTTGGGGCTTTGAGGGTTCAAACCATCCTTGTTGTTGCTTGGTGAAACCTGTTGTGATGACTCGGTCACATTGTTGATGTTAGCACTCTCATTCTGTGCTTGTTCATCACTGTTTGCATTCCACATCATGTTGGATAACTCATCAGAATGTTCACCATCAGTTATAGCCAAGGGGGGTGGCTGAGCCGGCATCGATGAACCACATGAGTTGAAATCCTCAGCTGCCGCGGCAGGAGCCGAGTCCTTAGGAGACCGTTTTGCAAGATCTCCAGCAATGAGAGTGGAACTTGAGCAGATTCTCTTCACATCGTACCTACTTATGTCAAAGTTGGTCACAGCACTTGTTCCTCTGAACTTGATTGCTGCTATATCATATGCTTCAGCAGCTTCTTCTTGTGTGCCTACACAATAGTTATTATGGCTAGGTAATTAGAATGACCAAATCAAGGGAATAAGGGGAAAATAATTAAGATACTCACATGAAAACTGAAGTGATATTATAAAAGGCATTAAATTATATATTATATATTACATGTGACACTATGATACATGAATGAACGAGGGAAAAATGATCATTAAAAAGGGAAGTGGAAGCTTAAAAACAAAGGCAACAGAGAGATAGGGTCTACAAACTTACTAAATGTACCAAGATACAAGTCCTTATTTCCTGCAACCCTTCCTATTCGGGCCTGCCACCTTCCATGTTGATGGTGTCTGAAATGATACATGGAGAAAAAGATATATGTTAGACAATAATTGCCCACCTTAATTATAAGGCTGAAAATTGCAGAAAATAATTCATGCAAAACTTTACCCATATTAATTATAAAGTACATCACTTTAGGCCATACCTTGTCACGCCTCTATACACGGATGCCCCTCTTGAAAATCCACTGCTCTTCCTGCTCGAGGGAAACAAAAAGGACGATTCCTACCACGTTGAATATGAGGGGGAAAAGAAAATGCCAAATAAAAAAAAAAAGAGAATTTACTAAAGATCACATGATTAAAATAAATTAATGTACCTTCTTAGATTGGCGACAAATTCTTGCCTGGTCATGTGCTTCATCTCTTCAAGTTCCTTCTCATAAGTGCTTAACTGAGCATTTAAGAAGCAGTACACATGTGGAGGGATCACAGTTACTATGTAATGGTTCAAGCCACATAAATTAAATACATAGGAAATATTGACTTTTTTTTATAAATAATTTAATTCCCTTGTGACTATTTTTACTGTTGCAATACTAAGGGCATAGGTAAGACTTTTGCAAGGGGAGAAACTGTACAAGTTTCAGAAACCTTACAGGGAAATTTATGTGAGTTGTTGGACCCCAATACTTGAGTGCAGCTAAGTCATAAGCCCTTGCTGCTTTTTCTTCCTTATCATAACCACCTAATAATAATGCAGAGATATAATTGTTTGCCAAAAGCGATAAATTATCTTCAGAAGCCAAGCATACTTTTCAATGCTTCATATCTAGTAGCGTATCTAACCAGTTACCGTGTTATAGTAAAGGGTAAGATTTACAAAGATGGTAAAGGAGTAAAGAGAGAGAACCAATGCGTGTGAAGGAGTGTCACTCACCAAGGTAAACTGTGAACATTTGAAGTAGCCATGAAAAAGGGAGAAGAATCCAACCAGTGCATGAAACAGACCGTTAGTATATTCTCTTTCAAAACAAGAGAGGAAAGTAAAAAATAAAAGGAATAAAAATGAAAAAAGGTTAAAGGATTTGTTTTGGTTCTTGAAAATGCTCTTCCTTTTGGTCAATGACAATAAACCAAAAAACTACAGAATAAAAAACCAAAAACATGTTTTTCTCACCTTGTCTTCCTTTCCTTGTTTGCCCTTCCTTTCTGCAGCTATTATCCCACAAATGGGCCTCATATCTCCCAGTCCATCTATGCCTAACAAAATAAAAAATAAATAAAAACCCAAAGAAAAAAATTAGCAAAATTCATCAAAATAAACAAAGTATCAAATTATGTAACGAACAAATCCACTCTTCCAAAGTCCTACCTTGTAACACCACGATATTGAGATGTTCTCTGCCCAAAAGTGTCAATAGATTTGCGAGGGACTGGTTCTCTAGCATGAGATTTTGCCATGACCCGTTTCCGATTGTCATCACTCACTTGAACAGAGGAAATTGCACCAACCCCATTTTGCACACTAGGGCTCATAGTGAGGGACAGAGATTGGAAATTGCACCCATTAGCCTCAGCTGAAGGTTTTCCTTCAGAAAACTGAGTTTGTGCTAACCATGACTTATACATGCCATTGGTGGGAATAAGGGCATGTGAGTTATCATTATATGCATGGAAAGACTGGAGCAAGGAAGAAGGGTTTGTGAGACTCTCCCCAGCTTCAATCTCTGTATTGGTGCAAAAGCTTGGTGCCACATTAACATTGATTTTGGAAACATTATTCTGTCCTTGGTTTTGGTCATGTTGAGAGTCTTGGCAAAAGACTTTAGATTCAGCCATGGGGGAGTTTGAGTAGCAACCCAAAAAGTCTTCAAGCTTTGGACCTTCTTCATTGGAATTCCCTCCACCTATTGCATTATCATATCTCCATTCTACAACCAGCCACACAAATTTCATTGCTAATTCATAGATAAACAAAAATAACAAACTTTATCCAACAACCAAGTTTAAGGGCACAAAAGAAACTGTTTTGGGCAACATGCAAAGGGTTGGAAGCAACACAAAGGACACTCAGAAGAAGCCATATATTAACAAAACCACTGAATATAGAGAATAAAAAAGTTCGATTAAGGAAAGAATAGTTACTTATTCTTCAAAAGCACTCTCCAGAAATGCCATAACCGATTATCTTTTCAAAATAAGGTAATTTAGAAGGGTGTAGGTTGGCATGCAATACCTTGAGGTGCAGCAGAGTGGCTAAAGGAGTCAGAAACACAAAGAGAACCATCAGAACGCAAAGGCATAGCAGACAAGTGAGGGTGAGAAGGAGGAGGAGGGTAACCCCCTCCTCCACGCTCTTGGTTTTCTCTCCCAAATTCTTCATCAATCCTCAAGTGTGGAGTAAGAGAGAAGCCCAACCAGTTACTCATATTGACACTAACACTAACAATAAAACACAAAGCACCGCTTCCTCTTTTCTCAAGAAAACAATCCCCACAAACGGCACAGACTTACACAGATACACAGATCTTTCTCTACCCCCCAAAATCTGAACTACTTGTATCTCTCTATGCAAGTTTGGAATGTTGGACTTTGAGCTCAAACTTCAAAGCTTGTAATGGTTGGGATGGGTTGAAAATTTCCCATTCCCTTTTTCCCTCTTTGAAGCTCTATCATGGTCATCACCATGTGGGATTCATATCTTGTGGGTCTCTCCTAAAGGGTGTATGTGTGTATATATATTATTATATGATATGATATGATTTTTGTTGAGGTGGGAAGGGAGTGAAGGGGTTGAGACTTGAGAGTTGCGAAGTCTAGACAAAGTTGTCTCGTCTTATATTCTCAGCTGCGTGTCGTTTTTTCTAATGAAAGTGTTGGGCTCTGTGCCAGCTCTTTCATTTCTTTCTCAGATTTCTGCAGAGGTGGCCACGGCATGTCGCAGTGTGAGAAAATAATATACTATATTACATATTCAATTGAAGAGAGATAACTCAGAGATCAGAAAAGGATGCCAAAATCTCCAAAGATATTATCAGATACGGCCTTGTGCACAGTTACATCCTTCTTTCTACCCACAACTCTCGGTAATGAAATTTGATCAACGGTTACTATTTGAGAATGCTGTATGATACTGCGCTCTGAGAAACACTGGATTATGGTGAACTTGAACCGCTTGTGGGAGTAATTGATGACACTACTGATCTCAGCCGTGGACTGAATACTTTAATGACATTATATTATATTATATTTTTAATATATATCATTTATTAAATCTTTGTAACAATCTATTGTTATGTTAAAATCAGAATCATCACAGTAACATATTATAAATTAATCAGAATAGTCAACTTAATAAATATTCATACCTTTTTATAGCAATATTCATACTTAAAAAATAATATATAAAAGACTTTACGTTAACAAACGACTAAAATTAAACAGCAACAAGAGATCAGTCAATTATATACATAAAAAAATTAATTATTGACAAAATCAATAAAAACTTTACACCAACGATATTTATAAAAAATTCAAGACACCAAAAATATTTTAAATGTACTATATATTTTATATTAATATGTTATTCAAAAATTCAACATTTTAAATAATGTTTACTATATCTAAATTTATAAAGATTATATATAATAGTCTATTTTAAATATTTAATATAATTGTATATATAAAATGATATTTAATATTTAAAATAATTTTAAATGTGATTTACAATCACATTGTCTCTTTCAACTACATTAGAAATATGTTTATTGGATAAAAGATAAAATCAGAAAACAAAATATCCGCATAAGAAGTTAAACAAATAGTAGAAAGTAACTGTATACCTTAAAATCGAGCTTCACAATTTTTTTAGCATACGTACTAGCAGTCTTATTCTTTGTTTTAATAATAAATTCAACTATTAAAATCGGTCTAATAGATAAAAACTTAAAAGTAATATGATAAAATCTTATGTTTGAATTTTATTGTCACCTACCCTTTAATTCATACACTAGATGGTATTTAAATTTATTAAAATAATATGCATATTAAATATTGATTTTATAATATTATAAGTTTAGACAAACTTTTATGATGACTTCAAAATCTATACAATTTAAATAAGGATCGTTAAATAATTAATTATGTGTTTTATTTTTAACATTCTTTTAAGAGAAGTATTAACATCATACTCTTAAAAATACTTTTAATAAATAATAATTTATAAAAATGAAATAGTTAAGAAATTTGATCCGAATAAATACGAGATTCATTTAACTGAGACCGAATTGAGGAAGGGGTTTGTAGTTGCATGGAGATGGAGGCGTAGAGCAGTAGCAATTGGTCCAAGTTCAGTGCGAGCCTCAGCCAAGTATGAAAGCAAATACAACTTGTCGACAACTTCAACCAACCCTATGAGGAGGACATAGTGGTAATTTGGAAGGGCAACCTTAAAATGACCGCGTAGCATAAGTCAAACTATGTTATTATTATTGTTTGTTTCATCCTACTGCTAGTGCTAGTAACCACCTCCCATGCAGACAATGGTGAATAACCACCCGTCTCATGGCTACGCTACTCAGTTACTTCAACTTCAACACGCTTTCATTCAATGTTTGTCACTTTGTGTTCATGACTGCAAGATACCTTCCTAGTTCCTATCTCTATTTTCTTCACAACTCCAATTCCACATCTATTGGGCCGTGGGCCATTCCCTTTCCCAAGATATAATGGATTGGATGAATTACAAACTTGCATGCAGCCTATGCACGAGGACGCACATGTGCACAACCCTGTCCATGTATAATATGAGTTAAAATGCCTATTTTGATTTAAGAACTATATTAACATTCAACAATATCATAGATAACTCTATCTAAACTTATTTAAAATAAATGCATGCAAACGAATTTAATTGCTCCAAGGAGGGTGAGGGCAATTAGCATGGCTTTAAAGTTCAATGTGCCTCCATTTATCATGTTTTTATGATTTAAAATGTAACTTAACTATACAAAATTCGCTCAACTGTTGTCTCATTTATTTACATTATTTTAGTTATAGTAAAATCTCTAATATTATAGATCTATTTGTTTAAACTATTTTTTTCCATAAAAAAATACTTTTTTAATCAAATAAACAATTTTCTATTCTTTTAAAGTATTTGTCTAAACTTTTTTTTTTTTTTTTTTTAAATAAGCAATCTCCTACTCTTTTAAGAAGCGATTCTTACCTGCTTCAATTTTTTTAAGATTTTTTTTTAGTTTAAATAAACAGACCCTATGTTAACAAAATATATTTTTCACAAAGCCATGTACCATATCTACCCACTGTTCCTTTTGCCAAAATAAAATTAGAAAAATGCAGGACTATTATGGAACGCCTCTGGCTCTGACCATGTAATGAACAGATGGCAAGCTGCGAAAGTATAACTATTGAAGTAATATACATCAATATGATACAAATTGGCCTTTTAATAAGCAGTACAAGACTCTAAACCATAAGCATCCATAACTATCACATGAATAGTTTTAAATGGGTGACTCCAATTTGTTTTTAATGTCTAAATACCCCCCTCCAAAAGAAAAACAAATAAAACCAATAAATTGTGGAGAGTCCTATGTTGGTTTTGTACACTTCCATCTTTGTTAGAATCTTCAAGTTGAAAAGGAAATCGTGTACTGTGAATATATGCAAGTCCCGAGTTTCTTAAAGAGAACAATATGTATTCACAATATGGAGCTTTTGTAATCAGCAATCATCATTCAGGGTTAGCCCCATGCCATAGAGCAAGCGTAGTTGACCACCAGTTTGCCATCAAAACCAAAATTCTGAAAAAATTAAGACGGCCACAAGAGAAAGGAAATTGCTAATGTCAGAACGTGATACATAAACAGCATAGTTAAATTATCTAAAGAGATTCCAGAACAATATAGAGTGCCGTACTACTCTAATGTTTTTTTTAAACACTTGTAAAATACAATATTACAACTAAGATACAATATTAGTAAGGAGAAAAGGAAGGCCTAGCAAAAGCACAATATTAACCCACAGAGAAGGAATTGCTAGACAATTTTATTTTTATTTCTGGCACACCTGCATATTTATATACGAGAAGACAAACATAAATGATTCAAAAACTTTCTTCTTCCCTCCCTTTTTTCTTTGAATTTGAAGGCTAGTTCATCTGTAGAATTCACTTGGCATGAATTTGGGCATGTAATCCTACTTTCATAGAGATCTTTTTACCGGGTTAGACCCAGTAATTTTTCCTCACTCATATTGAGAAGGTTTTTCACGTAATGTTATTCTTCTACTCCTAATTCATATTTTCACTTTCGCTTAGTAACTATTTTACATTCACAGAAGTGGGAACCAAATATGCTAATTCTCAACAATGGTATCGGTGCTCGCCTAGTTAGAGGAATTTTTAGCTTGTGTAACTCGAGATGGAAAGTCAAGTGGTGTTTCTTGATAGCTAACAATGGTGCAATTTTTGTGTCGAAAATCTTCTTGACAAGAGAGTCAAGCGACGTGTCCTGAAAACTAACAAAGGTGGAAGTATAAGAGGTGTCACCATTAAATAATGGTGGAGGAATATTAAGGAGGGGAAGCATGATGTAAAAATAATGTGAACATGAATATTTGGAAATTTTAATTGAGAGGGAGATTGTTTGAAAATCAATCCAAAATTCTCAATCATGAATGAAGAGTCACAAAGGAAGAGCCATGAAGGAAGAGTTGTGAACAAAAAGCCATGAACAAAGAGTCATGAATGAAGAGTCGGGTCATCTCTATAAATAGGGAGACTTATGATGAGAGTTGTCACCCACCTAGGAGTGACCACCCAAAGGGAGTTGTTAATTTCATTCAATCCATTCTAGAATACTCTTTGAGAGAAAGAATAGAGTGATAAAGTTCTTGTAATCCATTTTGAAAAAAAGAGTTGTTTTCACCACACTTGACAAATTGAGAGATAGTCATTTGAGAGGGGTGAGATTTTTTGAGTGATCCTCTAGAGAAAAAGAAACTATTTGTAATCCTACTTTCATAGTGGAGATCTTTTTACCAAACTAGGTCTCGTGATTTTTCCTAGCTCACATTGAAAAGGTTTTCCACACAAAAGTTTTGGTGTTATTCTTCTACTCCTTATTCTTATTTTCACTTCCAGATAGTGTCTATTTTGAGTTCACAGAAGTGAGAACTAGATCTGTTAATTCCCAACAGGTTTTAGTGTCACCTACTCACCTTGTCTCTTTCTTCATCAACTGGGATAAGGAATGATATGAAAATAAAGAGAAAAAATGGAAGGGAAAGGAAATGGATTTTGAATTTCACATTCAGCATTTAATCATTGATCCTTACTTTGATTGCCTAATACGAGGTTGAAACAAATTTATTGAGAGCTAAAAATGCCTTTTAGAGTTGGGACTTTTGTGGCATCTAGTTCACTATCAGATAAAGCACATAGTTTAGTCCCTTGGCAAAGAAGGTTGACTTCTCTGTCACTTCCGTATTTCTGCAACTTCAATTTAGCTTATTAATTGAATTGGTTAGAAAGTCTTTCCCTGGTATTGGCTAGAAGAGACGGATTAGTCCCCCTCCAACACTGACTTCTTAGTCGTGTAGTTCTCTTTCTCCTTAGTTTATGTATTTAAAAAAACTAAAAAGTAGCTAAAGAAATGTTAAAACAACTTTTAACAAATACTGATCAAATTTTAACTATTTTACTTTCATCAAACAAACATATCACCATGCGTAAACCTTAAATTTTTCCTCAACTGTTTTTCCACAAAAAAATATGAGACAGGTATTATCATTACAAGAGATATTAGTAACTGCAGCACAAGAATAAAAATATGCATCATCTACGTTCAATGAAGATATAGAAATAAGAGGAGAAAAAGGGATCAGGCGATTTCTTACATTAAATAAATCAATGACCAATTCATCAGGGTTTGGTGAAAAGGCACTATTGACATATACAAACTGCAAAATTAGGAAATGAAAATTGAGTATGTAGGACCTTCTGAGAAATAGATCAATATAATACATAATGACAGTTTACCAATGTCTCCCTATGAAGCTGCCGGCGAAGAAAGTCTATCACTTTAGCAAACTTATCAGTTCCTGCTATCTGGAATATCAAATAAACATATAATTCATTTTCACTGAAAGGGTAAGAATAAATATTGTTGCAAGCATTGCTCAAAATAACTGTGCTGTTAGAACCGGACCAGACCGGCCAACTCAATCAGTTGAACTAGGAATCGGTCAGTCCGGAAGAACCACAAAACCGGTGTGTAAAAGAACCGGTCAAAAACTGGATGAACCATCCCATAACCGGTTCAAAAAATCTGGATTGAACCGAAATTTTTTTTTAATAAATATTTTTTTTTATTTTCTAAATTTTTTATGATAAATAAATAAATATATTTAATAAAATTATAAATTAGAATAAACTTTCTTATTTATTATTTTTAATAATTTTCTTATAAATCTCATTTATATTAATTTATAATTTTTATATCATGAAATTTTATTTTATATTATATTAATTTAAAATTTTAATATATATTGTTATGTTTTATTAAAATTTAAACTTAAATATTATATTTAGATTTTTACATGAACTTTAAAAAATAAAACTATATAAACTGATGTTTTATTTTAATTTTATTTTATAAAATTATGATATTATGCTTACATAAAATTATTTTATGTATTATTTAAATATTATTATTATTTTATTAATACCGGTTCAATCACAGTTAAACCATTGAACCTTGAACCTTTGTCATAATTGGTTACAGGTCCGGTTTCAAAAACATTGCAAAATAATGACTTTCGGCCTCGAGTTTAAAACATTCTGAGTTTGATGTGAATATGTGATGCACCTCAAACCAGCAGTTTTCATGTGAGAAAATGTGTATATATTATATCAGCAACAAGAACAGAAAAGCCAGAGAGAATAAGTTTGTAATCTTCTTTGCCCCACTATCAACACAAATTGGAGTGTAATCTCCATTAGAGAGAGAATAACATGGATAGTACTGTGCATATCAAATAGATGAGACGCCAATTTAAACAGACAGAGGAAGACCCAAAAAAAGTAGGAGAAAATATATAAAAAGATCTAAGCTCTAGCTAGTTTGATGAAAAATTTGTTTTTTGATAGATGCCAATTGAATCTATTCATCCATGTAGCCAATCCCACCTAGTAACATAGCTTGGGAGTCGTTTAGAGTAATAACAAATTGGCACTGTTATAATCAACTAAAACCTGTTCATCATATTACTGAACTGCATATCTAGTGAAATTCTGAAAGGTTAAAATCCAGCAATGCCTAGTCTGTATATGAGATAGTTCCGGAGAGTAATATTTGTATCACTCTTAATGTAGAGGGTACAGAAAAAAAGTACAGAATAGAATTGAAAAGTAACACAACCAAAACATGAAAAAGTAATAAATATTAACATACAAGAGTATTGATGCAGAAATTTGAAACAAGAACATTATTTTGTAAACTTCAAAGTAGGTTATATCTAGTATTTTCCTCACAATAATTATCATACCCTTCAAACATCCTGCTTCCCTTACATCCTAACCAACCCCAGTAAGCTAAGGCATGAATCCTTGTGTCACGATAGCAAGCCAATTCAAGAAAGAGCTATCAAGAACAAACAACACACCCCCATCCCCATAATTTTAATCAAGCAATAAGTAGTATTATACTATTATGTTATGCATAATCTCAAGTCACTTCACTGAACTGGGTAATCATCATCTACAGTCCTCAAAAATGCTATTGACAGCCTCTCGGTTCAAAAGAGCCAAAAATTGGGATCTTCAAGCCAAATTAGAATGCCATTCAGTTACTACCGTTATACCCAAATAGAAAAGGCAAAAGGTTTTATCCCAGCTATCAGTTCACCAGTAAACCACACTGAAATTTTCACAGTTAATTCTACAATTATGAGAAAATAGGTTACACACCGATAGTGTAAAATTGTTTTATATTGTAATTCAATCACAAACCATCATATATGATAAATTTGTTGACTTTTAAAATTATTACCAGGGTGTATTTTATACACGAATTTTTTTGTTTTTCCAGGAATCTAAAGTTGAGAATGTTACTTTCTCACATTCGGTTTATCATCTAAAAAATAGCATTCATAGGAAACATGATTTCTCGATAATGTTTTTTTATACAAATTTCTCACCAAATTATTCCCATGAACAAAGATGAGAATCTAACATTCTTGAGTTAAAAGGAATGTTTTACATTTTACTTAGTTAATGTAGTAAAAAATTTAAATTCTAAGGAACATTTAAAAACATTCCCAAAAATATTTATGAACAACCAAACAAATTTAATCATTCTTGAAAATCCCTAAGATTTATGATTCTCAAGAACTATGATTCCTGGACATGAAAAAACATTTCTTCAATCAAATTTCTCCTAAAATTCATATCCAGAGTGATTTTTGATTAATTTACACAAATGGTGCATAGCAATTGAACTAATTATTTATTTATCCAGAATATGTTCACCTCCATTTTGGTAAATTTAAAGAAGGCCTAAATAGAAGGTCTTTATCTACAATTTCAGATGTGAAGATTAATTTGGGTTGACCTAACCCACTATTAAAATTCGAACACCGACGTCATTGAAAACCACATAAAACCCAGGCACAAGATCATCTCCATCATCAATTCAGATTTAAGCACCATCCCTCTCACCCAGAAACTCGAATTTGTAACACATAAATCATAAGTGCATAACTGACATGAGAAGACTAAAATACATAAAAGGGAAGCATGCAAAAGGAATCAAATTAACAATTTTGATGAGAAAGTTGGAGAAATAAAACATACCCATTAAAGAGGAAGGTCGAAAGAAAATACCTTGAACTTGGATTGCTTGAGAATAGGGGCATCACCGGTGGCTCTAAGATGAACAACCACTGTAACCAAGACAAAAACCCAATTCAGAAAAGCAAAGAGAAAAGTTAGGATGATCGAAGAAGGAGCATAGTACCTTTACGAACAGAAGTGGGCGATTCAGCAGACATGTTCCTCAGCTCTCAGAACAGTGATGCGCTTCCTCGTCTTCTCCTTGCTCGATCGTCGATACCGCAATTTTTCTTTATAGTAAATTTCATTATGTTTTATAGTTTAAATGTTTTCTTTTTTATTTCAATAGAAATTATTTAGTTTATTTTATTTTCTGAATAAATAATAATTTAAACTACTTTTTAAGTCCCAAATCAATAGATTTTCAAAACAAAAAATTACTCTTTTTAAATTAACTTTTCACTTTATTTTTCGGTTCAATCTTTAATTAATAACCACAAATTATAAGTTTATAATAGATAAAATAATTAATAACCACAAATTATAAGTTTATAATAGATAAAATAATTAATAACCACAAATTATAAGTTTATAATAGATAAAATAATTAATAACCACAAATTATAAGTTTATAATAGATAAAATATTAAGAGTGTGTTTTTTTTTTTGGTAAAGTATCAAGAGTGTGTTTAGATAAAATTTAAATGAAATAATTTATTTTTGAATAATTTCAAAAGTTTTGAGATGAAATGTTTTTTTAAAATGAAGAATGCATAAAAAATTTAAAATTCAATTATCTGTAAAAAAAATTAAAATTAAAATTCTCTTAAAAGAAATAAAAATCTGAAAACTTTCATATTTTTTTTCTTATCTCATTTATATAAAAAATATCAATAATATTTTTATTGAATATACAAAATATTTTTAATTTATTAAATATTATCTAATATTAATTTTTAAAATAATTAAATATTTAAAAATTAGCTCATATTTGTTTTTATAAATAGATTGTTCTTTAAGTAATAAAATCTCTCTTTATATATATATATATATATATATATATATATAATTTTATTATGGTAAAAAATAAATTATCATATCTAGACTAAAAATTTAAAAAATTTAAATTGACTTATCCAAACAAAATATTTAAATAATGGTGAAAATTGAAATCAAACTAATTCAAACATAAAAATTTCAAATTTTATGAATATTTAAAATTTTTCATCCAAACACCAAATATATAATTTTCTAAACATGTACCAACATATATCTTATTTATTTTTTACAATTTTCTAAATATGTGCCAACAGATAACTTATTTATTTATTTTTTATAAAAAGAAATGAAAACTAGAAAAAGAAAAAGAACTGTCTTTAAGTGGGTTGAGATTCCTTCATAATTCTAATTAGTATTTGAATTTGTACAATTCATAATTATGTTTATTATATATAATTAAAATTTATAATAAATTATATATATATATAAACACTATCTTTAAATATATAAATTATATTTTAGATTATGATAAATAATTTGTATCATAATAAATTTTATTTATTTATTAATAATTTATTTAAAATAATAATATTTAAATTATAAATAATCATGATAAATAAAAATTAAATTAGATAAAAAATTCAGAAAATCTCTACAAACTTTCTTATCGAAAAAAACTTATAAAAACACTTTCATGCAAGATAAAGTTTGTGTTTAGTATATAGGAGTTGATTCTTATTACTAAACAATAGTTTTAGAGAAAATATTTTGCGGATAATAAAAGATAGCATAAAATTTTATTGAAGAAAAAAATATGTATGTTAAATCTTGTTCATATTATGTAAAAAAATATATATTATTTTTATTGAAGTTACATGATTTTTTTATATAATATTTAAATTTTGAAATACTTATAAATAAATAACACTTATATATTTATCGCGGGTCTACAAAATGCCAAGACTGGCTGGTTTTGTTGTCCTTCACTGTGAGTGTGAAAAAAAATCTAAACTAATATGTTCATATTATGACATTTTATCTATTTGAGAAGAAGAAAAATGAATTGATTCACCATGTAAAAGTAATTTAATTAACTAACTTATTTTTACAAATTGAATCGATTTAATTTGATTTTTTTGATGAATTTTTTTTTCATCCATGTATGTGTATAAAATAAATAATTGAACTGCACTAAACATATCTAATTTAAAAAAAAAATCTAATCCATTTTTTTTAAAATAAGACTTTAACATATCCATTTTATAAAAATTGATTAAACTATACATTTTTATGATTGAATTTAACAAGTAAAGTTTTGAATCAAATTGGATATTCTTAAAGTTTACTAACTATTAAGTTGATAGTGATATTTGTTAAAAATCTTTAATATACAATAGATTTTCTACTCAATAGTCATGAGGTACCATCTCGTATCTACCAATGAGGTACCATCGAGTAATGGTTAAAATTTTTTATCCATGAATATCTCTATCCTTCATGCAGGTTCTTTCATTTTCATCCTCATTTTATTACTTTTTTTTATTCTAATTTAATGGGTAACGATGCCTGTTTAGTCATGTTTTCCCTGTCACTGTTTTGGAGTCTTTGCAACTCCATATAATAATCTTTTTTTGGTGTCCTTTTGTTTTTGCTGGCATTTAATTTACGTAGAATTTATTTTACGTGATTAGAGTTCGTATACTTCTTTGAGTTGCGAATATTCCCTTTTACCGTTTTACTCTTTGGGTTTTCACAGTTCTTTTCTTTCCAACACTGAACAAAATTTTTTGTTGTTGTCTTGTATATTTGCTTCTTTGTTTTAACTGGTTTTTAGTTTTCACCTTCTGCGCTTGTTACTGCCTTTTCATATTTGCTTTTTTTGCTGTAACTCATGATTTTCTTTATGTATGGTATGTACCAATATTTTGAGTGATATCAATGGAGAATTAGTTGGGGTTAAAGCACATGTTAGCTAGGGTTCTTCATTTTATAGTTTCATTTTTAATTTGTGTCCCTGATTTAAAGATATTTGCTGAGTAGAGTCACTATATTTGAGAGAACGATAGAGCAGACTGATATTCCGTGACTGTAACATTCTCTAAGCAACTTCATATTAATGAACTTGTGCATGCTTACTCTCTTTTTATTTTCCTGCTCAGAAAGGATTAATTTATAACACATTAAAAGCAACGAATAGCTCTGGATGAGGATGGAAATAGAGAATGAATCACAAAAGGATATGAACTTGTATCTATCACCAGAATATTAATTCTGAACGGGAACTTTGTTTGAAACACAAGAATTTGAAGTTGATAATTTATATTAGTTTATTAACTTTAAATACTAAATATATTTAATAAATAAAAACTTATGATTAGCCTAAGAGACAATGCGGCCGGTGATACAAAATTGTGATAATATGTACAAAATTTCTAATTTTAATCTTGTTCACTTCATTATATATATATATATATATTTTTTTTTTATAAAAAAATGGCCTAAGAGACTACTATGATAAAGAACATCACCTTATAGTTAACCTAATTTTTTTTATATATATTATTTAATTTCTATTTCAAACGATAAATATATAAAAATAAATTGATAAAGATTAATTATTGACGAAATTAATAAATATTTTGTATTAATAATATATGGTGTAAGTTCAAACTATAAATAGAAAAAGGGTTTAAAAGCAAGGTGGCCTACAGCCTACCCATTATGCAGATTGCAGAGGCACAACTATTTTTCAGACAAAGAACAAATATCATGTGCATGTTTTCAGGAGATTTCGGAAAAACAGAAGTACTGCATGTGGTTTTATTGGTGGGGGGTAATTGGGACCATGCAACTTGAAGAAATGAGGTCGATTATTCACTACCTTTATTTCTATTTAAATTACAATTTTAGCCGTTGAAAATCTAAAAAGAAACATTGTGTCGTCGTGGAATGGAAATTCTGATGACTTATGCACTTTATTGAAACAAATAATCTTTAAACACCCAATATGACGTGTAACACCTCGTGAGAGGAAGAAAGAAGAGAGAAGAGAAAAATTATATGGACATGATAAGTGATGAGGTAACAAGAACTAGAACAAAATTTATTTTTACTGATAATTATTTACTAGTAATAAATTAATTACCTTTTTTTATTATTTAATAAAAGTATTAGTGGTTAATATATAATGGTCACTAAAAATATATTTATATCACATCAAAATTTACTATTAACGACAATTATTTATTAAGAAAAACTTTAACCTCACATCGACTAGAAATAAGATAATTAAAGAGTATATAAATGAATAATAACTCTCACCTTTCAAGTTTGTTATGTAAGATTGAGTTAGATCTATAATTTATTATTCTAAATTAGTATGAGATTATTCACTATTATCAAACTCAATAATCCTTAAACTTAAAGGGACCGACTATTGATAAGTATTGACAACCTTCATCTTAAAGTCCCACATCAACTAGAAATAAGGTAATTAAAAAGAATATATAAGTAGAAGACAACTCTCATCTTACAAGTCTCACATCAACTAGAGATAAAATAGTTATTTATTTGTACTCATCTTACAAGTCTCACATTAACTAGAAAGTAAAAAATGCCACTAAAAGTCATATTAAATGTCACTAAAAATCTATTTTGTTGTAGTGTAAGATAAAAAAAATGAAAAATTTAGATAAAATGTTTTTTTTCTTCTTTTTTTAAAGTGAGTAAATTCCGAAACAAATCATCTCCTGCAGTATTGTTTTTCCAGAAAAATAAAATAAAATAAATGGAAAACATGAACGAAAATAATAGAAAAATAAATAAATTATAAATGTTAAAGACAATGACTGCAGGCGAGAGGTGTAGGAGAGAAATATGTTGGAGAGGATTCAAATCCGTATGCCATGTTTGCTCAAATTGCAGAATAAAGTACTATCAATTTTATTTTATTTTTTTCTAAATGGAAAATCTAATCTTCTTCTCATTTATATCTATCAAAAAGATAAAAATAATATAACCATTGTAAATTGTTAAATGCCACTGATCAGGGTAATTATAATGACATCCAAATTGCATTAACATCCCATATCTTGGCAAGGCAAAATATAAAATTGCAAGTAACCCAAGAATGGTTAAATTTGCATGCCTGGAAATTTGGAGCTCAAATAACGAATCATTGAAGAACCAACAATCACGTGGCCATTATTTGTTATCGTGCCATTGTGATGTATGCATGTGCAATGGATACATTTTAAGTAATTTTACTAACATACTTTTGAGTCATT